CACTAAAAACTAATAATTGGCAAAGAAGATTGAGAAACTCTAAATATTTGCAAAAGACGGAAAAACCGATGACAAAGTCAGGGAAAGAAGAAAAAAAATTAGAAAAATGTCAACCCAACAATATAAAAAAATGCTCACAATTTATACTAAAAATAAATTGACAAATTATTGTGAAGCCGCATAAAATTACATTTTATGTCCTTACAATAATGTCTCAAAATTAGTCGGATCGTGTGAATCGGAGCAACGAAATTATTTAGAATTAGTAGGTAGTACCTACCTACCCATGTTGATTGTTTTCAAGAAATTTTACCCATGCTTGGGTTGCTTACCGAAGCAAAATATATTTTATGGGAAACAGTATAGTTGGCCTGCAATAATTTTCATGTTTTATTGAAAGTCATTTATTTTTGAATCAAATTTGTAAATACATGACTGTTTACTAACGAGCCGTGATGAAACAGTCTTCTCATCTCAAGATGATGAGTAATATTGAAATACCAAAGCGAATTTTCGCGACAAAATTGACCTTTACCAGTGTAAACTTGTAATGGGTTAGTTTATTATAATATTATTAATATTCCAATGAGAATTCTTTTTGACATTATAAAGCTTCTGAGCTATTGAACACATTCTTGGTTTTGAAATTAGCAATTTTTTCCAGTTCTACTTGGATCGTTTATTTTGCATTGTCTGGTATGGTTTATTTGATTTTTTTATAACGGACAGCTGGTTACTGTGGCAAGCTGCCAATATTAACCTACTTTCACTTGCCATGTTTTAAAAGTAACCGACACCGCGATATACGCTTTACTATTTGCTACTTGCTTTAAATTTTGGTCCACTAATATTTATTATATGTATATCTACTATCATAAAAGTACAGTTTTGTTAATAAAATAAGCAGGACACGTTAGAATAGTGTTATCAATGCTCCAAATAGTGGAAACAAAAAGTTGTAGAATCTTGGATTTTGATCTTTTTGAATAGGTAGGTATTATCTATTCACAATCCGATATCCAAAGGTAAAAGGTAAAATTTATCACCTTTCAGTGCTATTTGATAGGGAAAGGTGATGAATTTACCTTTAACTTTGGACTACGGATTGTGAATAGGATATATATACCTAACAGTTTCATTTATAAATTTACTCTAAAGAAAGGTTTATGAATTCCTTAAAACGCGTCAAATGATGACGTATAAGGGATATGAGCATCTTATACCAATCAAATTTAAGAAGACTCCATCGACAAAGTACGAACAGCTGCTGTTCTAGTGGCCACTGACAAAGCTTTGATTGCGCTGTTGCCAGTTGTGGCTAAATGTAGTGCGTCGTGGGAAAAAAAAATTAAAACTGATCAAAAATATCAAAATTCAAGTTGTAACATAGTGCGGATAAATTCCATGTTTTTTCTTTTTTATTTATTTTCTCAAGAAGGACCCTAAGTAAGGGTGCAGAAAATTCTATTATGAGTTATGCCAATTTCAGAAATTATTGAAAGAGCCTATTCAATCGATGACGTCAATATTTTTGGATTTACCTCATGGCTCATCATTATGCTCATCTACGACAAACTATTTTGTCTTCGTGACTATGTTCCATATGAACTACAATAAATTTAATGAGTTCCTATTAGTTCGACAACAAATTCCAAATGTTACAGTATGATTTCGCAAGAAGTAGTGTATAGATCCGGATCGGTATGACTCGTTAAGAAAGGATATAGGGCGTTGAATTGTTGCTAGTTTACGCAATTAGACTAATTATTGTTTTAAATTGTTTTTATTGCAATGGAATTTGTGGTAGGTATATCATTTAGATAGGATCGTAACTAATTGTTTTGGTATTTGGAGTAAATTTAACAGCAATTTTTGTGTTGCTTTTTTTTATAAGCAGGAATAAGCGAGCAATTAAGAGGCCTTTGAAGTTAAAGATTCTCATTTTAATTTTTTCTATCATATCAATTTCAACATTAACATAGTCAATCCCACGAGTCTATGTAGCTCAGATTTCAAAACTGCCTACAAAGAAATTAATTCAGCTTGTAATTTTTCCAACCAGAATAAGAAGAAATTCGCTACTTGATCTGCTATTAGTGTGTGACTAGAGGCTTGTTTTTGGACTAAGTGTCCATGTAGTCATAACATCCAAATCCAGGTTACTCCAGAACCAACAAGTAAATTATATAAGAGCAGATTTTGGTCCGAAGACTATGAAGTTATTAAACACATCTACATCAAGAACTCTTCAATATCACTGCTAACTATGAATGGGTCAAGGGCATTATGTCATCCACAGCTCTTTCATTTCATTCAAACTGAAGATTCTCAATCCTTAGAATCCTTGGCTAACATAAGAATTTTTTAAACACAGAAAGCGACAACTCTAACAGTGACAATGTGATCTACAGGAACCAAAATAGCTTCCTCAAAACCAAGATAAAACAGTCTAGAAGGAAATATGAACAATAATTGCTAGCCTCTTCTGATAAGCAGTTTCCTTCCTACTTAAACAGGTCTCTTGGTTCAAGACTTACACATTTCTCACTTAGGAAAGTAAGCACCAACTGCAAACCTAATGATGAGAAAGAAGTTTTCAATTTGTTTGCCGAACAGTTTCAGAGTGTTTTTACAAGAGAAGATCTAAGCCATATGCCCAACTTGGATTCTTATACATTCTGTGATAATTCACTGAAAATTGCAACTTTTACATCTGAGAAATTGGAAACTGCACTCACTGAAATACTTGCCATTTTCCTGAATAAGTGTGCTGCAGTTCTTTCACATCCCCTCTCAGCCACGATGAAAACTCTTCTCAGGCAAATTACCAAGGCAATGGAAGAGTGTAATTGTAGAGCCTATTCACAAGAAAGTAACCTGTGAACTATAGGTCCATTAACTTAACAAGTACCCTTTGCAAATGCATGGAGGAAGTCCTGGTATCTGAGATGACTGGAGATGAAATGATCCACCCTTCCCAACATGGGTTTCTCTCTGGACACGAACTTGCTTACTACGGTCCATGACTCTGGCCAGTCTGTTGATGTATTTTACCTGGATTTAGAAAAGGCTTTTGACAAGGTACCATTTTGGACGGCTTTTCCATAAACTCCATCACTATGGTATAAGAGAACTTCTACTCAATTTAAACCAAGATTTTCTGCAGGATCAACCAGTTCTGAGATAGGACCCATGAATTCAAATTCCTGTGAAGTTTTCAGTGGTGTTCCCCAAGGTTTAGTTTTGCCAAATGGATTGAGGAGTCAGAGGTCGTCATTTGCCGATGATACTTGTTGTTATAGTAATTTTGTTACGCAGATTGGGGACATAGATGCCATCAAAGAGTGGACAACCACCTGGCAAATGCCACTGGATGACTTCATTTGTCCAGATATGCAAAAGCAACCTCAGGATGCAATACTATTGGGTCTATAGGTAATTGTGTTGCTGAACAACATAATTTGGGAATTATTGTCATTGGAGATATGATGTGGGTCAAGTCAAACTCCATCATTCAAGATCCTGGAATAGAAAAAAAAATGCGCAACTTGCAACTTTCTTCAAATTTTTAACAATAGTGTGGATATTGTCTGCTTGGGAGGAAAAGTTGAATATTCCCGGATGTCCGTAGAATAGATATTTCCATTAGTAGGTAATGGATATTTCCTTATAAGCTGAAAGAAAATATTGACATTTGGTTTCAAAAATGATGTCAATATTTTTCGGAAAGAAATACGTATCTCAAAATACTCTCTTATTGAAATTCCTAAATATAAGTAGGTACAAAAATAATCCTCGTATCGTCGTAACCCATCCACCAACCAGTATACCCATCATCAATTTACATCATGATTAACAGTACCCATCGTAGATGCTATTTACGACGATGAATGACGGCAACAAAACAATATAATCCTCGGCTCGTTCGTAATAATTAATGTTATATAAAATTTATACGTAACGGTTTCTAAGCAATATAAAAGTTGCGGTGTTTGTAACGTCTTTACAGGTTGATTGTATGTAGGCTTCTTTGGTTTAAGGAATTTGTCAATTTAATAGCAATCAATTCTTGCTGATTTTTAATAGAATTCAAGGTCAATATTCTAGAAAGTAATACATAATTCTTTCAAACTAACCAAGAAACTCATTAAAATTCTTGTGACCTTATTAAGTATGGATTTCGCTTTCCTTTTAATATTATTTTATGTAGTAGAATAAGATTTCTTGATTTTCTCGTATAATTACGCTATGGAATCTGGGTTGTTTGTTTTGTTTTTTACAATCTATCCAAGAATAATTGTATTGCATGTTCCAGCTCACATATGGTTAATAGAGAAGATTGTCCAGAAAGAATAACAACAGTGTTGTTGATAACTGGAGCAATCTAACTGGTGGGAAATAAGTACCAGAAAATAAATTCCAATTAAAGATGAGTGTATTGAGAAAATACGTCTACCTAGTTTTCCTTGTTAGGTAGACATAGATATACTTCCACTATAATTCTTGTCTGCGCCTTCTTCTAGCCTTTTTTTTCTCATAGGCAGTACTATTAGTATAGTCCGTTTCCGAGCCATTCGTCGAAACGTCCTTACGCTTTGCATACAAATGAGAAACTTGTCTATCGGTACTAAAACAATCAAATTATTTTATTGTGTACTAAGGTCTATTCTGGATCCATTTTTGTCCAAATCACTTATCAAAAATCGCGATTTTTCTCAATTCCAAACTGCTATAATAAATTCTCATCAATCTCATCCATATACAAATAAACCATAGAAGTATATATTTACAATTTCTTTTTTCCCAAGTAGGTAGGTATAGGAAGCTGCTAATAGATGATTTTATTGTCTTGATGATTAATGATTAATTATGCAATTATTTTTTAATAAATTCAATTTTCTCCTAACGTAATTAGCATAGAAAAAAAATACACCAACTTTCCAAACTAATAAAAGAAGATACAATAATTTCAAATAAATTATAAAGAAAGTTTCACTTACTCAATTGCTTATTCTATTCCAACATTTAAAAAAAAAACACTAAAAACTCTTCATTTTTCCCCAACTATTATTGCCAACCACAGCTGTGACTGTGACTTTTCCAAAAATTTCGCGTTTTTATTATTGTTGCTCCATACCGTTCGTGAAAAATTGATTAGCAATCGCGCGTTATCAGCCAAGAACTGTCAGCTGAAGAAACTGAAGAACTTAAAATCCGTTCACTTTTTGGCGCGGGTTCGCATGCGCACCGAGTGGGTGAATGTCTTGAAAAAGTACTCCGCCTTTATACGTCGAAGACCTCGAAGATTGCGGATATTCCTGCAAGAATTAGACGAGCGAAGAAATAACAATTTTATCTATACGAGCGTACGGAAAAGTAAACTTTTTCGTACACTTTTTGATACGGAAATAGATACTTTTCGGTACGGTTATATGTACATAGTACTACCTACTTTACAGCAGGTAGGCAAGAAACTACTTCACAGTGAATGTCCTGGAAGGTGCTACTTTGCAGCAGGTGTTTTGGTGAAAAAATGTCGGTAAAGCACTTGTTAATTTTGAATGAATAACTATTGTAGAAATTTGCTAGAATAAATAAATTTCAACAATAGTTATGGAAAGACAGAAGCCTTCTTTGAAGACATAACCACAGCATTATGATAAATTGTATGCTAAATACTCCAACTTGATGAATAAATGAAGACCACAGGAGATGGACTAAAACTAGATAGACGTCTGAGTGAATAAACTAGACTCAATTAGTGGGAAAATTCGAATCAATGGTACTGTAGTTTAAGACTTTACTTTAACAAAATAGGTAACTACCGCAAAATCTCTAAGTTGATGGATGGTTGTATATGGCAACAGAAGTTTCTAAGAAGAAGTTGTAGATATGGGACATCTTGAGAAATCTGTCTTCTCGAGGTGTTTTCAGTATTAGAAGGTTTCAAACATCTAAATTCAGAATAATGTACATATCTAACAAGTTTACCAATTTTGAGCATAATGTAGATATTGGTCTTCTTCTACTACCATTTGTTGCGAAGGTACCTACTTTTCATTTGATGATAACAAAATTTGATGTAAAGTGCAAAAGAGTAATCAAATAGCATGTAATGCTTCATTGAGGACAATGCCTAGTCTTAAATCCAGAGCCTAACTGAAGCTTTACCAAATAATTCTGTTACATTTTTCCAGAGGTTCACCTTTGGGATTATAAGACATTGATCGACTTTATTGTGTCAATAGTTTTCAGGGTTCTGTAGACATATGAACCTAGACTCCATTTATTATCAATTTTTTATCCATCTTAAGGTATACCTACAGTTTACAACTTTTTGAGTCGAACACCCGCTCGTCTATATAAAATAAAGGTTCTTTTGGCAAAACTCCAAAAAGTTTAGCGTTGCCGAAGATTGAGCGCGCTGACGTCACCGTTGCAGAAAGAAGAAAACGGTACCGGTTGTGTTCAAACAGAATGCTGGGAAGTGGTACCGCGATGGTACCCTAAAGCATAGGCAACCAGTTTCTCGACTTAAACTATGGTTCCCTTATCCACTACTGGTATAATGTTGCATTCCAGAAAGTCACATTTGGATTTCAAATCAAACAATCTTTTTCCTATAATATTTTTCTGAAAATAAAAAAAACTTACCCATATTGATTTTTGAGTTTTCCAAAGAACCACTGGTATGATTAGTTTAAGTAAAATTGAAAATCAATTGATTCAGTCTAGGTAAATACTTAAAGCTTGACTCTCTGTTTGTGATCTACATATCTATAGATAGATAGATAGATTTTGGCTCTAATCATAAAATAGAGATTACGTGCTACAAATTTTGCCCCTCGAGGATTCCAACAATGGAAAAATAGCCTTGAAGAGTACCGTAAAGGGGGTAAGGAATGTTTCTTTTTTTTAAGTTTCTGAAGCCATTGTGTGACAATAATACTAAAAAGTAGGTACCTATCTAAGAATCTGGAAACCAAGAAAATTGGATACTATGTAAAATAATAGTTATTTATCTACAAGCGTTTGGTTATGACATTTTTATATAACCATTTTTCTAGTATTTGAGTTATGTCAGGAGACTCATAACACAACTAGTGGTGTTATAGACTAGGTTATGAATTCATAACACAACTAGTGGTGTTATGGACGAGGTTATGAGTCTATAACACAACTATTTTTGGTGATATGACAAATGTCAAAGGTAAACCTGTAAAGGTAAAATGAAGGTAGACAACTATTAATGAACGAAAATAATCGGGAAAATATTCTTATTTTTCGCTTTGTAGATAAAACGTTGTACATCACACGTGCGTTTAAACATGACTACAAAACTCGTGTGATTAGAAAGACTCGGTCTACGACCTCGTCGTTCTAATCCTTCACACTCGTTATTGTAATCATACTCATAAACGCACTTGTAATGTAATAGTTACTTACATTACAAGTGCGTTTATGAACATGATTACAATAACGAGTGTGAAAGATTAAAACGACGAGGTCGTAGACCGAGTCGTTCTAATCACACGAGTTTTGTAGTCATGTTTAAATGCACGCGTGATGTACAACGTTTTATCTATAAAGCGAAAAATAGGAATGTTTTTTAAAATTATTTTCGTTTATTAGTAGTTGTCTACCTTCATTTTACCTTTACAGGTTTACCTTTGACATTTGTCAAATCAACAAAAATCGTTGTGTTATAGGTTCATAACCTCGCCCATAACACCACTAGTTGTGTTATGAATTCATAACCTAGTCTATAACACCACTAGTTGTGTTATGTAAAAACGTCATAACCAAACGCTTGTAGATAAAGAATATTTGCCGGGTGGCAAGTTATAAAGTACCACCACCTGTAACATTTTCTATGTACGATCAAAAAGTTACAGGTGGTGCTACTTTATAACTTGACACCCTATACCTACTTATAGAGTAAAAATATCAGAATGAGGAAGGAAAAAAAAGACATAGGAGATGAAGAAAATCTAGTACTTGTCTATGATTGAGGTTGGAGCTTGAGCATAGGAGGTACAGAAAATCCTAAAGTTGTTGAAGATAAAGGGAGTGGGGGCCGTATTAATCCAAGAACCTTGGATATAAGGGGCAGATCAAAGGTCTACAAGTAAAGGGGCAAAATTAATCTGGGACAGTCGGTGTTACGAGCCTAGAGCATGCATTCTTCTGAAAGAGAACATTATTCATTTATGTCTTTCAGAATTTATGTCGCGGGAATTGTTCAGTATTCGGGTAAAACTTATCACTGACCAGCCACACCGCGACCCAGTATTGGCATCAGGTTACTTCGCTGGAAATGGCAAGCACCACCAGAAGAAGTACAGAGAATAGTCAAGTACTGCAACAGGAGCAAACTACCGCTCCTAATTGGCTGTGACGCCAACGCCTACAACACCATCTAGGAAAGTACCGACACACAATACACCAACATTTGTTACTAGGGATCAGACAGGAAATGTTAGACATAACACTTTGTAGTCCAAATATTGACTAAATGATCAGGAATTGGAGAGTCTCCAATGAACCCTCTCTTTCTGATCACAGAATTATAATGTTTGGCGTAAAAGGATTGCAGGAACGAACTACATCATATAGAAACCCCAGAAATAAGAAATGGAGTAGAAGAAACCCTCTAGAACCTAAATGGAGCAATCATGGAGGCATACGAATCCAGCTGTTCCGTGAAAGGGCAAGTAAACAAAAATGGTTGCCCATGGTAGAACAGTCACCTGTCATGACTTAGATCCGAGGTTCGTTGTCTTTTCAACAAAGCTTAACGAGATGGAGAATGGCAGGACTACACCGAAAGGCTGACTGAGTACCTACAACAAAGAAATTAGGAAGGCCAAGCGAAAAAACTTCAGAGACTTCTGTGAATTTATCACAGAAAAACCATCAGCAGCCAGACTACAAAACCCTGGCGAAATGAAGAACCTGGGAACTGCCCTTATACAGTTGGAAGATATTCCCAGCCCTGGAACTGCTAGGTATCCTAAAGGACCTAGGACTGGAGGGGCTGCTTTGAGCAGGAAACCCATACTTAGCAGCAGAAAGAGGGGTACAATAGATCAACCTTGGTCGTGGTGAAACTGTCACCTCTAACACACACATACACACCTACACATACACAAGATAAAAGGGAAGTACTTAACTCATCCTACATTGAGAAAACAAAAAAAGAAGAAACATTTGATTGGCAAAGAAGAAAACATTGAAAATGAGAAAGTACTTTGGTACTACTTTCAAGTCACGACACATTCATTGATGTGAAACTGATAATGTAGATAATAGAGGCTAATTAGAATGTAAAAAAGATCCTAAGGTTAGTGAAGTAAAGGCGACAAACTTATTTGACATTGAGAAAATTCAGCATCAAAGAATCTCTGTCGATCGACGATTAGATTGAGAAAGTAAAAAAGAAAAAAAAAAAAATGAAGACCAAATCATTGGATATGGGTGTAATTGAAGCTAATAATGGATAGAAGATGATGGATAAGTTGAGCATCAGTAAAAATTGGAGAAAAATCCAAAGTTCGCGAAGAAAAAGTAAACCAACTAACTTGAGAGTAAGAAAATGAAAGATCCAAAAATCTCTGTTGTTCTGTCGATGAATTAAAGCCAAACTAAAACTATAAGGAAGAAAAACTAAAAAACAAAAATCAGATTACGAAAGTAAAAAAGGCAAAATCAAACTGCAAAAATCACATGGATACAAAAGAGGAAGAAGTTGATAATGGAAAAGTACTTAACTCAGGACGAAATCATTGGGTGAGTATGTAACTGAAGCTGATAGGATAAAAGGAGATGATGGGTAAGTTAACAATTAATGGGAAGTAGAGAAAATCCCAAAGTTGGTAAAAATAAAGGAAAAAAAGCCTATTCCAAATTGAGAGCAATTGACAGGGACGTAGCGAAGGCCTCTGGTTTGGGGGGGTGACATTCTTAATTTTCCCAACTTTATTGAAACATAAAAAAATCACATGTAGCATCATACGTCGTACACGTGTTAAGAAGTGGAACTTCTTAATAGTATATTATATTACGAGTGTAGTAGAAAGTGACAAATATCGCCTCGCGCGAGAATCACACGAGTGTATGGAAGACGCTTTCTTACGAGTGATGTACACCATTTTTCCTACGACCAGAAACCAATTTACATCGATTTTCTCTTATTTTATTTCTTTTCATTTTCAACACACGTGCTGAAAGTACTTTCAATCCACGTATTGAAAGTAAATTGTTATGTCAATCACAAATAATGTCAACAGTATTTTCCACATGTGTGCTGAAAGTACTTTTAGCACGAGTATTGAAACTACTTTCAGCACGCGAGTGATATTTAGCGCTTTCCAAAGAACCAGCTAGTGCGAATTTTGTAATTTTCATATGTGGTCGTGGGAAAAAACTATTCCCTCCCTCATGAACTTGTCTCATACAACTTTTAGACTTGTGACATATGAGTCGGGGTATAAAGATGAAAGGCTACACAATAGACAACCGCGCATCTGTAGAGACGTCACAAGGGTTACACGTAACGCTTCTTTCAAATCACTCTCCATTCTCCTCCAAATCAGACCGCCGCATAAGAAGTTTCAGTTCCAAAAAATCATGTGTAGCATCGTATACGTATTAAGAAGTGAAACTTTTCAAAAACTATACTCTCTATACAGCTTTGAGACTTAGCTTATGAGTCGGGGTAAAGACGAAGAGCCCGCGTATCTATAGTGATAGTGACGTTACAAGGGTATCGGCGCTTGACAATAATAGGCAATCCTCTTTACTTATAATCCTTCGTTAGTGTGAATTGTTCATCGGCTGTCATCGTCGTGGTTGATGTCTTTCTCCGTCTCTCTACGTTATAGCTTCCTTCTCTCTCATCTCTCCTGTAGCAAAATTTGCCAAAACGTGACGTTACATGATGCGTCTTTCGTCTTTCAAATCACTCTCCATATTCTCCTCTAAATATCAGACCGCCGCCTAAGAAGTTTCACTTCAAAAACTGATAAAAAGTTTGACATGTACAGTCGTGAGCATAAAAAGTGGGACACCCGTTTTTTCCTATTGTAAAACGAGCTCATCAGCTATACCTATGGCAATGACAGAGATTGTCATATTTGACAAAAAAATCCATTGTAGAGAAAAGACTGATTTACACAAAATAGTGAAAAAGGACAAGACCTGTCAGTCCGGTGTCCCACTTTTCATGCTCACGACTGTATATATTCCAGACCCAAGATTACTAAAGTTAATAGGTTGCCTGATAATGGGTTACTTGATGACGCATCTAATCTGAGGTACCTTGGAGATTTGCATTATGTTGAGGCACCCCAGATGACGGAAGAAAATTATCAGAGGGCTGGAACTCTGTGACGGATAAGGATCGTTTTCCCTATCGCTATGACACTTGCTGTCTTTTTCTTTCTTGTCAAAATCAATAGAGAGGAGACGTCAATAGAGATAGAGAAAATATCTCTATTCGTTACAGAGTTCCAGCCCAGAGGCAACCTATACCTCTCTCAAACAACCTTGTTCCAGACCTACAAATAATATAATCAAATAAAATAAACAATGTATAAAAAACATGTATGAGAAACATGTTCGAAAAAAACATTTCTTCAACATAAGAGCACAGGATTCAGAGCTTTGCTGAAATCTGAATAGCGAGCGAAGAATGCGCAGAACGCAGAAAGTAATAAGAAGTTTGAATTATCTAATATACTATATTGTCCATCTCTCTCAAACACGACGCGCTTGCAACAACAAGCTATAGATATAACTACGTCGGTCGTCGGTCTTGACTCTCGAATAGTGAATAGTGCTAGTGGCTAGTGGCGCTAGAGCCACTACTGTCACGAATGCCACGTGCCACTGCCACAGGCTAGTGGTGCTAGTGCTGTGCAATGTGCAACGCAAGAGATCGCCCCGACCATTGGGATTTCGTCAACCTGTTGTACGGTGATTTTGCAATTCATTACAACACGTGACACGATCCTGATGTATGTTTATTTTAATTAGTCCTCGCAAATTTTTGTCTACCAATTTTTCCCAACTTTAAATTTTTTATCCAAGTTTTCCCAACTTTCGATATATTTCAGGAAATTTGGGTTAGTTTGGGTTAAACCCAAAACCCAAACTAACCCAAACTAACCCAAACCAACCCCCCCCCCCCATGGCTCCGTCCCTGACAATTGATACATAAATTGAAGTGCAACCAAAACGACAAACAGAATGAAAAAAAAAAAACGAAAATGACAGTCAAATATAATATAAAAATAAAACTGTATCGAGAGAAAAGTAAATAGGGAAAAATCTAAGAAATAAAGGAGCAAACTGCAAAGGTATCCATGTATTACTTTCAAGGATCAAAAATAAAACAAAAAACCTATTTCTTAAACTTTATTTTAACAAAAAATTCAGAGCACGATTTACAATAAAAAAAAATCTAAAACATTTATTTTTGTCCCTCAGTTCAATCACAAATTTAATAAATAAAAACTAAATTTTCTGGATCGAAGCATAATCTCAGCATCTCCCTATAGTTAAGTGCAGCAATTACCTACCTATCTTTAACTCTAGGTAAAACTTCAAACTTCAAACTTCAAAATAGCAATTGAATAATTGATCCTAAATACAGGCTTTTCTATGCATGTTGGAACAAACCTGTTTATTTATAACAAAAATACAATAGAAATAATGCATTATTAAATCAGTTCTATTGACGATATCTGTAATTAAAAATCCAAAATAAAATTCTATAGAATTTTTTACAGCAATCAATCAAAATAATTAAGCTACCTTCTTATTTTTATCAGCTTCACTATTTTTTAAACTCTCCGTCTTGAGATAATCTTCCCTAAACAAGTTGTTCATGTATCCTCCAATGTACATCCTTATCCATTCCGGTGGCAAAGTTACCAAGAAAGTCTAATAAACAAAAAAAAAAGACACTTTTAGTATTGCCATAAAGTGCAGAATAGTGTCCTTACTTGTATCCCGTGAGCCCAATACCCACTAGATTCGTCCAGTTTACCCAAAACAGCTACAGCATATCGAGCATAGCTATCGGGGTCGGGCACGAATAAGCTTTTCTGGTAAATTCTGTCGCTGAAACTGTTCATTTTTGTCGCTACGAACATGGGAGCCAAATGTTGTATAGTTATTCCATCGGAACTGTATTCGTAGCGGAGGGCTCGTGTAAAATTTCTTATGTAAGTCTAGAATAGAATCGGATTTTTTTTATTACTAATCTTGATTTAAGGTCATAAGAATCAAACAAATCAAGAGAAGAAAAACTCTAACATTAAACTTGGGACACCCTAAAATTATTAGAAATGTCGAGACGTTTTTGGGTTTAAAGAGAAGATGTATAAGCTTTGGAATCAACGAAAGAAATATTTATTTGATGAGACAGTTAAATCAAAGTTGAATAATGAAACTTTGACTGAAGTAGAAGAAGGAAAAGACTGGAAAGATGTTTCGGTTACGACAGATGAAAGATGAATACTTATCAACCTTGGATGAAGTATCGCAAAACTGTTGTAAGAAGAGAGAGTTGTTGTATAATGGGGTGTTCATACAAGTTCTAACTCAAATGATACAGATAACCAGTAAAAACTAACAGAAAATCAGCTCGCAAAGTGCAAAACCAATGAAAACTAACAAATCGGCTATCAAAAACTAGCTTTTGGAATTCGAAGGTTGGTTTTGCTATTTTCATGTTAGTTTTTACTGGTTTTGCACTTTACAGAGCAGATTTTCTTGATGGTACTTTATTTATTGGTTTTTCACTTTTGAAGCTGAGTTTTTTGCTGGTGTAGATGAAAGGCGACAAAACAGCTGGATGGAGATTATGAAATTTGAAGAAGGAAAACGTTATAAAAGCCGCAGATGGAGTTTTCTATTAAAAAAGGTTTATTATAGAAATGAAAGCATTCAATTTGGAGGAATCGAGAAAAAGTAAAAATGACAAGGAAATAATAGAGAACTCTTGTAATTGACAAATCAGAAGAACAGCAGGAGAAAATTATTATGCCACAAAGATACAGGGAATAGAAATTTATAAATCGTTTTTGATAGATACAAATTTATTTATGTAAAAAGGAACTTCTTCTTCTCTAAGTGCCATTTCCGCGACGGAGATTGGCAATCATCATCGCAATCCTGACTTTTGAGGTAGTTGCTCTAAAAAGATCTTTTGAGCTGCATTCAAACCAGTCTCTCAGATTCTTCATCCATGAAACTCGTCTCCTGCCTACGCTTCTTCTGCCTTCTATTTTTCCCTGCATTATTAGTCGTAGAAGACTGTATTTCCCGCCCCGCATTATGTGTCCCAGATACTTCTCTCTTTAATTGTAGTTTCAACCTCTTTCTCTTTTCCAATTCTTCTCAGCACTTCAATGTTTGTGATTCGATCTGCCCAAGAAATTCTTAAAATTCTCCTATAGGTCCACATCTCGAAAGAGTTGAGTCATCTCATTGTATCTGCATTCAGTGTCCATGCGTCCACCCCATAATAAAGCACACTATGGACATAACATTTTGTCAATCTTAGTTTGAGCCCTAACGTCAGCTCTTTACTACACAGGACTTTTTTAATTTTTATAAAGTTGGTACGAGCTTTTTCAATTCTGGTTTTTATTTCTGCGGTATAATCATTGTTTTCTGTAATAATTGTTCTTAAGTGTATCTTTTCACTTTTTCATTCTGTTGACCTCCAACCATTAAAATTTCATTTGTGTTGTTCTTACAAATTTTCATAAATTTGGTTTTCTTGATATTCAGGGAGAGTCCATAATTTGCACTACACCAGAATGTTTTGTACATGACTTGTTCTAATTCTTTTAAACTGCCGGCTATTATTACTGTGTCGTCTGCATATCTGATGTTGTTAATCAGAACTCCATTTACTTTTATCAGCGGTCTCATTTTCCAATGCTTCTATTATGATTTGCACGGAGTACGCATTAAATGATAAAAGCGTCAATATGCATACTTACCTGACCCCTCAATATATTTGCATTTCAGCAGATTTTTCCTGTCCAATTTTTACTGAAGCTCGTTGATTGTAATACAGATTTGAAATTAATCTTACATCTTGTTTATCCAGGTTTTTGCTTTTGAGAAGGTCTATAAGTTGGTCATGTTTCACTTTATCAAAAGCTTTATTGTAGTCTATGAAGCAGATATAGATGTCCTGGTTAACATCCAAACATCTCTGAGTCAACACGTTAAAAGAAAATAATGCTTCTCTTGTACCCACCCCATTTCGAAAACCAAATTGAGTGTCACTGATGTCCAATTCTAGCTTGTGATGAATTCTGCTGTACATAATTTTTAGGAGAATGTGACATAAGGATTATAGTTCTATGATCACTGCATTCTTTGGCATTGACTTTTTTCGGTAGACATATAAATGTTGATGTAAGCATTTCTTGTGGGTTGATGTCTGTATTGTAGATTGTGTTAAACAGCTCCACCAAAAAATCTATGTTTTTTTCGTTGATCAACTTGAGCAACTCGCTTGGTATTCCATCTGGACCTGCAGATTTTTTATTTTTCTTTAAGTGCATGTTCAACCCTCGATTTTGTTATTTCAGGTCCTAAGTCTCCACCTTGATAGTCTGCAGCCGCGTTTTCTTGTCTCTGGTCATGAAATAATTCCTCTATGTATTCTTTCCATCTTCTAATTTTTTTTCAGTCTCCATTATGATATTTCCTTCTTTATCCAAAAGTATGTTTGAGTTTTTTCTCTTTCCAATTCCGGCTAGTTCCTCGACTTTTTTGTGTCAGTCAAAGTTGTCATATCTGTTTTGTAACTCTTCTATCTCATAACATCTTTCAGAGAAATAAGTTTCTTGTTCTTCTGCTTCTTTTATTTTTCCTCTTATTTTACTTTGCAATTGTTTGTAGCAGGTGTTGTTTTTTGCCTTGTACTTTTTTCTTTCATTCATTAATTCTCTAATATTTCGTCTGTCATCCAGTCTTCTTTTTTTATCTTTGTTTGTCGTAAGTTCTTTTTTACTGGATCCTAAAAGTGATGTTTTAATGAGTTGCCATTGTTGTTCTGGGTTTTCTTTATTTTGTTGAGATTCGGAGACATTTCTTTCTAAATTTTCATTGATTTCTTGTTTGAGTTTATCTCTGATTTCTTCTGCAGTAGAGTTACATCTGCTTTCCCCGATTTTATCATTAGCAAAAAGGAACTAGAAATAGTAAATAAATTGAATGATCAGCTATAGTTTTTAGGGTAGATGTTTCTTGGAGGTTATGTTTTTTTTTTTTTTTTTCAATTTATTTATTTATTTATTTATTGATCAACAATAGTATCCTTAAATAATAACAAAAATACCCAATATAGTTTACCTATACTTAACACTATTGCCTAATGTGGGTGCACGATGGTATTTGAAATACTGTGTGTGCCCCTTTTTTCCTATATCAGTCTATCCCTTGAGGTTCCTAATTTGACTCACTTATGTATATAAATATAAACAATAATAATGTTATTATCTTTTACTATTTTTAAATTAGGTAATGTATCTTGTAATTACTCTGACGAATCCACTGTTTTATTTCTCTTTTACATCTATGATATGGCTTGTTTCTAATATTATTCGGGAGGCTATTAAAAACTTTTGGTCCTAAGCTAGAAATGTGATATTGACAGATTGTATGTTTGGGGTTGTGTCTTGTCACATTGTTCTTAGCAGTGTTTCTCGTATTTACTCCGTGGCTAATAGGTTCCTTATAATAAGGCACTTTTAACATAAATCTAACTATTGCCTTAAGGTGCAATTGTTGGATATCTAACAGTTCACTATCTTTGAAAACCAACTCAGTTGGATATCTTTTATTTTTAAATAACATAATTTTTATTATGTATTTCTGTGCTACTTGGAGCTTGTTCAATGTAGTCACACCTGCACTACCCCAAACAACAATGCCATAATTAATTATGGATTCGACGAGCGCATAGTAAACTACTTTCAAGGTAACCAGAAGGAAAATAAATAAATAAGAACATTTCTGCTGAAGTCCTGATGGACTTGTGTGCAGACTTTTCTTGTTATTCCATTCAGTTCAGTTATGCAGACCGCGTTTACATGTTGAAACAAAATAATAAGTAGTCATAGGAAGTACTTGAAAACACAGTTTGATAGAAAGTTGTTTTGTCTTCAACAGAAAAACATGTGTTTTATTTTCGATGGTATGTAATCGTTTTCTTTATAAAGCCAATTATTTGAACCTACGTGTATTACTATCACTCTGTAGTCAATAGTATCACATGGCGCAGTAGTATGTGGGTTAATAAGCATTAATCATTTAATCAATTCCTGTGGTGGAAAAACAGTTTTGTCTCAATATCCTAGTGTGGAATCTGGATTCTTCATCATAATCTTGTGGAAAAGTGAAGGCTTTCAAAATGGGACAGCTGAGATTACCGGCACCTCTCTCATTTGAAGGTAATGTTGCAGAAAACTTTAGAAAATTTAAACAAAGTTTTGAAACTTACCTGGCTGCCAGTGGAAAAGACAAAAAGCATGATGAGCTAAAGGTGGCCCTCTTGTTAAATATCATGGGTGAGGAGGCCTTGGAGGTGTTTAATACTCCAGGTCTCGATGAAGACCAAAAGAAATCATATAGCACAGTGTTACGTGCAATAGAAAGGTTCATGACTTCTAAAGTTAATGTGGTGTATGAAGTATTTTTGTTTTATGATAACAAACAAGAGGAGGGTGAGACATTTGATCATTTTATAACTGATTTAAAGAAGTTGGCACAAACTTGTGATTTTGGGGACTTGATGGACTCTATGAAAAAAGATCGCATTGTCCTTGGCATTCGAAGTAAAGAACTTCAAGAGAAGCTTTGTGATGTGGACTTGCAAAGGGCATCTCAAATTTGCAAAGCAAATAAAATTGCAATAGCTCAGTTGAAACAAGCTCTAGATGGTCGTGAAGTAAAAATTGATGCAGTTCAGAAAAAAGTACAACATAGTAGACTCCCAAATAGAGGAAATGAGGCATCAACATGAGGCTATTTTAATAGAAACAGAGACCCAAAAAATGAAGAAACAGATCAATTTGATTGTCAAAGATGTGGCAGTCGACATGGTAGAAGAAAATGTCCAGCATTTGGTCGAAGATGCAATAAATGTAAGCTTTATGGACATTTTGAAAAAATGCGTAGAAAGTCTTATGTTCCGGAGTTACAAGTAGGCAGCAGGCATAAACAGAACTCTAGTGAAGTGAAGTTAGTGAGTTGAGCAGCATTGAAAATGTGAGTGCAGTATGTAAGAAAAAAGTTAAATCTAAATGGGTTGAGTAAGTAGTAGTAGACAATTTTATAGTAGATTTTAAAGTAGATATAGGATCAGAGAGGTTAGGTCATTTCAGAGAAAATTTTCAATAAGATTAAGAAAAGAGGCGAATTGAAAAAAGTTAATATTGTACTTGAAACATATGGGGGTTTTAAGATGTATCCGTCAGGGTCTGTTAACTTGAAATGTAGGTATGACGTTAAAAATTTCAACTTAGATTTTATTGTAATTGCAGAAAATTATATGCCCATTTTGGGACTAGATTCTTGCTTTAACATGGGTCTTATAAAAAAAAAGAAGTTCAAAATATTGAAGTAACTAGCAATAAGGATCTTTTTGTTAAGCAAAATAAAGATATTTTCATGGGATTGGGCCAGTTTAACAAAAAATGTAAACTCAAGCTGAAAAAAGATTATATTCCAGTTTTTAAGCCACCCAGGAGAGTTCCTTTAGCTATTAAAGACAAACTGAAAAGTAAACTTGACGAATTGATTAATAAAGGAGTAATTGCTAAAATTGAGAGGCCCACTAAATGGCTTAACAACTTGGTGATCATAGACAAAAATGATGGATCGCTATGATTGTGTTCAGATCCAAGAGAATTAAATAATGCATTGGAAAAGGAATTCTATGAAATTCCAACTCTAGATGAAATAGGAGCAAAATTAAACAATAAAAATTACTTTTCTGTGCTCGATTTCAAGGATGGGTTTTATCAGGTAACTTCGGATGAGGATTCGAGCAGGCTCTGCGTATTTGATTGTCCTTTCGGTGTCTACAGATTCTTGAGACTTCCTTTTGGTCTTAATGTTGCACCTGAGTTTTTTCAAAAGATTAATACTGAAAACTTTGGTGAAATAGAGGGGTAATTGTATACTTTGATGACTTGTTGATTGCCGCAAAAACATTGGAGGAGCATGATCGAATCTTGGCTAAAGTTGTTGAAAGAGCTCGCTCCTTGAATGTCAAGTTTAATAGTAGCAAATTGCAATATCGAGTGCAGGAAGTAAAGTATTTGGAAAACATTTTTGATAAATCGTGTATGACACTGGATAATGATAAAATTCTGGCGAAAATGAGCCTTGAGGAGCCAAAAACGCCAAAAGAACTTCAAAGAATTCTAGGAATGATTAATTATTTAAGAAACTACATACCCAATTTATCAGAAATATCAACATCATTGAGAGAGTTACTTAAGAAAGATGTCGTATGGTTGTGGACTGCCAAACATACGGAATCTCTAAATAATATTAAAAAATTGATTGACTGCATTGACTTATTTTAATGAATATTTACCCTCAGTTATTCAAACAGATGCAAATAAGTCAGGTTTGGGCTGTGTGCTCCTGCAGAACAATAAATCAGTGGCTTTCGCATCGCGATCATTAAGAGCAGCTGAAACGCGTTTCAGTCAAATTGAAAAAGAATTTCTAGCAGTGGTCTATGCTTGTCAAAAATTCCATAGAACTATATTTATGGGCATCATGTTGTTATTCATACAGACCATAAGCCGAGCCATAAGCCTATTGAGGCAATAATGAAAAAGGGCTTTGCCGAAGTGCAATCACGAAGACTTCAAAGAATTAAGGTAAAACTTTTTAAATATGATGTACTTGTTCATTACAAGCCTGGTAAGGAGATGCTCATAGCTGTGAATAGTTTGAGAGATTGATGTATTAGATAGTGATGCCGCGAGACTCGAGACTGGTCTCGTCTCGTCTCGACTTTTCGAGACGAGACTGGCTTTTGGTCTCGTCTCGTGAAGTCTCGACGAGACGAGGCCAGACTCGACGAGAGTCTCGTGTAGTCTCGAGTCTCGAGATTACACTTAAAATTTTTTTTTCGTAGCTTTTTTATTGGACTATTCTGGGCTATTTGAATATGAAATCAGTAAATTAAATATCACGGTTACTCTTTACTATGATTTTTCACTAATTGATTTTTCATTGTGGCAGTTTCGACTTCCGTTATAATATAAAAATAAAAACCATAAATACAGGGTGTGCGAAAAAGAACGTAAAAACTTTCCACGTAGTAGGGGACCCTTTGAGAAACCCTAGAAAAATAATTAAATAAAAAAATCCTTCTCCAGAATTATTCTTGGTAATATGAAGAGGTAGATGTGAAAATTCACCTTCGAATTCTTCAGGTAATTATTACATGGGTATTTAATTCAATTCTCTGACATATTGTCAACGGGATATTTTCAGTGTCGCCAATTTTAATAAATATTAAAATGCAAATAACTTTCTTAAGAATGCCACTAGATTTTTTAAAATATTTTTCTGGGGTTCCTTGTAGGGTCCTCCACCATGTAGAGAAGAGTTTTTACGCTATTTTTTGAACACCCTGTATAGCTCGAGACCAGACGAGACCACTCGAGACGAGACGAGACTTTGGTACTCGAGACCGAGACTAAGTCACGGTCTCGTCTCGCGATGTCGAGACAAGACCAACCCTAAGTCTCGTCTAGTCTCGTCTCGCGGCACCACTAGTATTAGATGTTGGGCTCTAGTCCTCCTGACTTGAAACCTTAGCTCCAGTATCTGCCAAAACATTTGCTTCCACCATAATGTCATTCCTCAGGCTTCGATCCTTTTTGATATCGCAGGATTAGAATTTGTTAGAAATATCAACTTTCTCTCTTTTTTTTGTTGTATAGACCCCTTCCATAGGTACTTTTATTAGGCACCAAAATGTGAACCCTTCTGGTTTTTAGTTTATACATAGAAATACAAGTAACTTTATCTTTCGCTTTGTAATTAGATTAAGATTATTTAGATTATTATTATTTTTTTGTTCGTTTCTAATAACAAATACGTATCCAAATTCAAAACAAATTATATTCCCTCCTTTATAAGTTTATTTTTGCTTTTGTAATTCAAACCACTACGTTTACTAGATTTAGAGCACTCATTGTTATAGAAAATACTTTCTGGAAACAATAAAAATTGAAAAAAAATTGAATTGAATTAGTCCTCCTGACATAAGTTTTACAATAAATTATTCCAGCAGATTTCAAGAACATGGAAAAGGAAATAATTTTATGTTGATTGTCCACGAATATATTATCACGATTCGCTTGCGCCATGGTATACAGAATCCATGCCTAAAATTCCAAAAAAGACTGCTTTATTCGGGCAAAGAGATTATCGCGTTTATTCTGGATTATACAAGAATGATTTACGGATATATAAAAGCCCGGATAAGTTAGTAGTTTTTAAGTTAAAGATTGACTGTGATACGATTTAGATAGTGAATTTTGTAAGAATTGTAAAGAATTAAGTTGTTTGAGTTAATCAATGAAGTAATTAGTGTCAGAGTGTGTAGTAACATGGAATAAATTATTGTTGTGTTAATTAGACTTTGATTCTGGAATAAATGAACAAAATATTTCTGTCACGCACCTCAGAGCCGTGACAATTTTATATCGAAAACCGTACTTTGTCAACTCTGTGATCTGTATCAATTAAACTTCTTAACAGCTAGCATGTGAATTATTCAATTAAATTTTCACAAGTGGAAAATGCAATAACGGGCGTGTCAAACCACTTTGTATATTTATGGTCTTGGTTGAAAGCCAATGGCACCAATATATGCGACCTTAAAGAAATAATTGCGCAAGAGATTTTATATGGTCGAGTAACGATGAGATTTTTTCATGAGATAAAAGCCGTAGGCTGTATGATTTACCTTTGACGCTGCATAAACATTCATCAAAGGCAACGGTTGATGTTCAGAACCAGAAGCTATATTGACAATAGCTCCTTTTCGACGCAACTTCATGTCTCCGATAAACGCTCTGCACATTAAAGTGGTGGCACCAACATTAATTTTTATTATATCCCAGAGTTCTTCTTCTGGTACTTCGCCAAGGTACATGGGGTATTGGTACTGTTTGCCAACGTTGTTAACTAAAAAAAAATATTTTTTCATAAATTTTGCATGGTCTTTTAAACGCGGATTTCGCCAATAAATTTTTTTCATTAGAAAATTGCTTAATTGGTGCGTGAAATTTATATAATAATATTACCTAAAATGCCGATTTCCAATTGTTCCACTTTTTCTTTGACGATGTCGACTGCCTTTTTGCCCAGGGAAAAATCTGCTTGGACTATTTTCGTTTTAATAGGATAAAGTGATTCTAAAAATAGAAAATATTGCAGTTATCTTCAATTGGCCAATTTCAACGTATAGTTAATTTAAATTTAATTACCTTTATTAATCGAAAAACATGTGTTGTTTGATTGTTAAATCTATAATTCACTAATTGTTTTTCACATCAATTAGGTTAATGATTTGTGATGTTGACATTATTATATCACTGACCTATCTCTTGTTGTGTTTTATTGAGTTTCTCCAAGCTTCTACTGACCAACACGATATTTAGACCTCTTCTGGCCAATTCAAACGCATACGATTTTCCAATTCCATCTGTGGATCCAGTAATTACTGAAATAAATCATAAGGTATTTGAATCAAAACCACTTATATTCGTAAAATAAATCCAATATTATTTTTGCTACAAAAATTAACCATTCAACCAACAATTTAAGTTTCACATTCAATATTCCATTTATAGAATAGTCAAGCTATTGCCAATGTTAAACGGATGTCGAAATCTTGGTTTATTTGCTTTTTGCCAATATAGTTCTGCAATAGCAAGCATTTATGGTCTCATGTCGCATTTTTTTTCGCCAATGGTTACCCAGATAGGTAGGTAGTTTAACAGTGAATGGCAATAGCGTTTGGCATAGCCGTAAAAATAAACCAACTTGATGAGGTTAAGATAATTGTTATTATGAATGGGTCTCACATGGAAATGATTGATTTTTAATTATAATCAAACAATAATTTGTCTATATAGAATAATAGGTAAATAGATTTCGCAAAGTTCTTTGTCTTCCGATTTCCAGAATCTTCCTTTTTCTCTTTTCCAAATTCCACTATCTACTGCTTCTTCCTAGGTCTTCCTGGTTTCCTTCTTGCATTCAAGTTCCACTGTAGGGATCGTATTATTTTATTATTCGACAAATATTGTCAGTGTTCCTCCGGAGTCCTCATGAAATTATTCTGGGACTTCCTTGGATTACTTCAATCATTCTTGGATTTTATTCTGGATATTATTAGTGGTAAATTGAATTAATTTATCGTCCTTGGGGTTCACTTGCGCTTGTATCGAAATTCATTAAATTCAAACATTTATGAAACAACTTTCTTGTGCTTTTCACAAATTTTCCTCAAAAGTGTCTTCATATTTAATTGAACTATGGCGCGCCTATTTTTTTAGAATTTCGAGTAGAATGACCTTTCTTCTCTTCGTTTTTCTCCAGGAAGGTTCCAAAATTTTCTCCTCACTGGTATTTCGAAAACACATTAAAATGTGATAGGGTGCATTTTTTTAAATTTGGTCTTTGAAATAAGATTTTCTAGAATTTTTCATATTGTTGTTAGTCACAGCAGTGGCGTATCAACCCAGCTCCGGACCTGTGTGCCAAAATTTCTGCGGGCCCATCACAAGCCCCCCGCTGGAGGCTAAATTTTTTTTTGAGTAACCCAAACTAACCCAAATTTCGACCCAAAAGTCGTTCAAAAAACACTCCTTAAATTTTTTATTAGGTATTTTTATTTAATAAATAAAAAAATTTTCAGTAAAAAATTAATCCAGGAAAAATTTTGAAAAACTTACTTTTCATCAAAATTAAGGAGAATTCATCCTCTTACATTTTAATTTTTTTCTAGAAATCAGGCAAAGGGAAAATTATGAAATGTTTCCAGAAGTAAAAGAAAAGTGAGGAGCACATTATAGAAAAATTTCAAAATTTTCCAATCAAAAATCACTCCAGGAAAAATTCTGGGAAATTGACTTTTTTAGGCAAAATTCACCCTCTTACAACCGGGAAACTGGCCGGGATAAGTTCGAAAGTAATAAGACTTTTATCTAATATCTATAAAAATGCCTCGTTACTGTTACATAGCGAAAACACCACAAGGCCAATTAAAATATGTAAAGGAGTTTTACAGGGCGACTCCGTAAGCCCCACTCTTTTTTCAATATTGATTCACGAAATAGAAAGCTATTTTCACTCAAACGGATGCTACGGTATCTCTCTAGACTCTCTGACAAATATAAGCATGCTATTATACTGTGATGACATTGTTTTTTTGGCCGACTCAGAGATTCAACTGAGAAAGATTTTGTTTCTTCTTGAAAAATTTAGTGACCAAGTGGGGTTATCAGTAAATGTGAATAAAACCAAAATCGTTGTTTTCAGAAAGAGTAAACGCCTAAGGAAATACGCAGAATTTTATTACAAGAAGGAAAGGGTAGAAATTGTTAACTCTTACAGGTATCTTGGGGTGATTTTTAATTTTGACTTGTCATTTTGCAAAAACTTTTCCGAAAGAAAGTCAAAAACTCTAATTTCACAGGGAACTATTTTAAACACAATTAACACCAATAAAATTACTTCTTGGGATAGTGTTCTGAAGTTGTATCATTCGGTGATAATTCCAACTGCTTTATATTCTAGCTCTCTTTGGGGCCTCTATACGTTAGAAAATTTGGAATTTATTCAAAACACATATTTCAAAAATGTTTTGTATTTACAAAAAACAACTCCGGGATACATCATACGTTGCGAGCTAAAATTACCAAGATTAGCATATTTTGTTTTAAAAAATGCTATTTACAGCCTAATAAGAATAAAAAATTTGCCATCTTATAGACTGCCAAAAATTGCGCTTAATAGGCTAATTGCACTTAGTAAAACTCCAATGCCTACAAAAAAGGAAAATTGGTATCAAAGACTGCAATCTTTTCTCAGGGAAATGTTGGGCTTCCACTACTCCCTAGACCACTTAAATACTAAGAAAGATGCTGAATACTTACTCAAAAAATATGTTCTTTATTCACAAACTCAAGACTGGAACAGAACCTTGCTTAGTACCTACTGTCCATTTTATAAAAATTTATCACCTCACCCATTTAGAGCTAATGAATCAAATTACTTATACATGGAATATCCTTTCTTTTTAAAAAGATTTATTGCTTTAATGAGACTACACAATTCAACTTCAATTTATATTTGTATAAATCATATATCATATAAAATAGATTTTAATCAAGTGTGTACTATTTGCAACATGCACACTTTAGAAACTCTAGATCACTTCATCAAGTTTTGCCCATTATATAATCACGTAAGGCAACACTTCTTACCAGGGATATCCTCTGTGGATTTGGACGTATTCTTGAATAAAACCTCGGAAAAAAACATTAAAGCTCTATTTGCCTTCTGCAGGGAATCACTAAAGCTCAGATCTTTCATTTTAAATGAATAAAATTCCAATATATTATTGAGGTGGGAAACAGGAAAAAAAAAGGTAGCAAATGCAAATGGGATTTATAAATACGGTCACTGGTATGTAAAATATCAAATATTTAGGAGACAGTCATTTCAGTTGTTTATTTATGGCTTTTAGGATTAATGAATGTTAATTATTCTTAGTTTATTGGGGGTAAATGAGTACTTGGGGATTGTCAATGATTTTATTTTATTTTTTCTTTTGTTTGTACTTATGGAAAAATCTATCCATGAATGAAATAGTCACTGTGATTTTTGTTATTGTTTTTTTTTTTTTTCTATGCTTTTACTTTTTAGGGTTTTTGAATTGGGAACCTCCAACCCACTGGTTTTTATTATCCAATGAGGTTTAAGTTCGTTTTCTTTCTTTATAATGTATTTATTATTATTATTTTATTTTTTTCTCCTTAGATTAAGTAGCTTTTGTAATCTTAATTAGTTGATTCTAACCTTCTTGTTATGTACGGAACTCTGTACAAGAAACAATAAAATTTTTGATTTGATTTGATTTGACAACCGGGAAACTGGCAAAGGGAAAATTGTGAAAATTTTCCAGAAAAAGAAGAAAATAAAGAGCTCATTGTAGCAAATTTTGTAATTTTCGAAGACTCGTAATTTCCGTAATTTTTCTTTAGAAAATTTTTAATTCCTGTCATTTCTCAAATAATTCTTATAATTTTTTTATTAATTCCTGTTGTTCTTCAAATTTTCGTAATTTTTTAATTCCCGTAGTTTCTCAGAAAATTCCGTTATTTTATAATTCGACGTTTTTGTATATTTCAAAAATTAGTAGGTAATTCCCGTAATTTCCGTATTTTTTCTGGGCATTTTTCAAAATCATTTCCCGAAAGCCTTTGTGATTTCTAATTCTTGTAATTCCCGTAACTTTTTCGTAATCCCTGTAATTTTTTATAACTCTCGTAACTTTGATAGTTTTCGTGATTTTCAATTGTCGTAATTTTTTAAATTTCTTGGACGTTTTTTAAAATTTTATAATTTCACGGTCTTTATAATTTTTGTAGATGTAATTCCTGATTCTTGTAATTTTTGTTATTTTCTAACTTTTTGAAAATCATCATAGGTTTTTTCGATTTTTGCAATCTATATATATAAAAAACAAAGTTCGCGGGGTATCCGGGTATGCGCTCCTACACCACTTATCCGATTACGATGAAACTTTGGTAGATTGTTATGGCCATCCTAAGGAAGGTTTGTGGATAGGTTACGCATCTCGGAAAAAGAAATTAATTTTGAATTAATTAATAATTTAATTGTAAACAAACTCATTCAAATTACATAACAACATAACCCAACTTTTTTTTTGACTTTATGAAAGGCTTGCCATTCAACCGACGTAGCTTTATTATTTTTTGAATTCGAGAACGGCTGGACCGATCTTGAATTTAATACTATGAAATTTTAATACACATATCTCTATATAAGCTGAATTTGATTGACCCAGATTAGATCTATTTGGGTTCAATTTAAGTGAACTTCTTCTGATCTAGATCATTTTTTTGTTGATGAGAGTGCACTGATCCAGCCTCAATCGAACACAGTGTGGTTCACTTAGGGCGAAATCTCACGAGCGTAAGTTGACCATTTCTGGCGTAACGAAACTCTGATACATTGGAACGCCTATAAACAACCCGGGGCGCTCTAGAACAGCTCTGGAGTGCTTAAAATGCGTCACTGAACTCACTGCGGCAAGCGACGCTGGTATCGGATAAAAAAAATAAAAAATTAAATAGAAAATCAACAACAAAATTTTTAAAAAAAGGTGTATTATTTCAAAATGTATTTCCAAGCTGCCAACGCAGCGGGTCATTAGCTAGTTTATTAATAAATTTCCGTGATTTATTTTCAGAATATTCGTAACTTTTGTAACTTTTCTAATTTCCATAATTTTTTAAAAATTTAATTGTTTTCCGTAGTCCCGAAATTTTTCGTAATTTCTGCAATTTTTGCAATTCTCGTAATTTTCGTTATTTAACAAATTCTTTAATTTTTGTGTTATTTCCGATATTTTTTTTTCAATTTTTCGTAATTTCCATAATTTTTGCAATTCCTATAATTATTCTAATT